TCCGCTTAGGTTTAAACTAAAGTCGACTAACTTATTTGCCACGCTTATACCATCCATCATCACGTCCACATTGGCCTTTCCAAAAGTTACAAAGGGCATTATGCAGATGGTTACGTCACATCTGTTTTTGTGTACGGGGATATGAAATATTACAAGAGCTTCAGCTTCCTGTGTCTGATAACCATGTGCCGTGTCCCACTCACCCTTCAAAATATTTCCGTAAAGTTGGTTCTCATCGAGTACCCCACTACACGAACTCCAACATTCCACTTCCATCTCATTCCTTTCTATCGGCATCCATATCGGCTCCGGTATACGCCGTGTAGTTTTTAATATTTGATTGCCTAATTCATTGCCAGTGCTGTCTAAGACACGTTGCATCCTTACTAGAACTTTAAGAAAGACGCGGATTACAAAACGGGACAACAAAATATCAGCAATTTCGTGTAACGTTTCACTGGGATGTGATTTATCCTTCGCGAACAACATGTCGGATTTTTTTAACAGGCGGGGGCAAATTGCTGAACGAACACTTACTGTAGGTATAGCGTAGTGTGTACTAAGAGGCAGGATTACGTCATTCCCCGAATTCCAACAGCTTCCGTCGTTCATTGACTTACCCAAAATAAAATTCACATACAGCATCTGTGTTTTTGGGTTTTTTTGTAAAATACGTCTCAATAGCTGTTCCTGGGACAGACGGGATAAGTTTGAAGGCGAGTCGTTCACCGCGAAGTCGCCAATCACGATGTCCATTTTAGACAACCGTAAATGTGCTTCAGCGCAGAATCGAAAGTAAGAACTACCTCTAGAGTTAACAGCTCCAAGATGGACTTCGACTTTACGATCTATTATTCGCTGCAATCGGCTTCCAAATAGGTTGGCATAGATATATTCTTTCCCTTTTAGCAGATATCCATCAGATACCGATCCTCCAACAACACCAATTTTTAATGGTCTGTCACTGAAAATCACTTTTTCAAATGCCTTTTCCAGTCTTTCTGTTGATCCGCTACACAGAATTGAATCAGCTAGCATATCTCCGTCGATTCCAAGATGTGTTGATCTTTCCTCAATGTAAACTGTCTCGTTTTTTACCCTGCTCATCATAGATTTCACAATACTCAGTTTCATCTCTTTTGGACGTGTAACGAGAATCCGGTTAATTGGCTCAGCACCGTTCAACATCTCTCCATTCCAGAAGAAAACAAATGTGGCGAACATAAAAAAGATGAGACTCAACCGGAAACAGAAACATAACGTAGTATTTGATTTAGTCATGACAGATAAACTCATTGATATTTCCAGATATATAAAACTGTTTCGTTGACAGCTGCAGTCACGGTGATTATGAGAGGCGATTGACAACGGTACGCGTTTTATAGAAACGATAATGACACATCTACTTTCACAGACCGCGCCAAACAGAAGACTTACTCATATCCAGTCAGTAATGAGTTATTTAACTATTGAAATGATCCGTGTTTAATTGAATATGATGTTACGGACGTTTTGTTGTGACCAAATATTCTAGGAGTATTTTCGCGCTTAACAAATTTCATAAGTATTAAGGCTACGACTGGTAAATATGATATATGGTAAGTAATCTAAATCTTTTATCTAAAAAATCAAATTGAAGATCAATTCGTTCGATTTTTACGACCGGTCCGCGCCTTTCACGCAATGCGCGAGATCTCGCAGTGAATTCCCGATTGCAAGACTATTTAAGGACAGTCATCACAATATTTCGATTACCTACTATATATCATCATACAAATTTATGACATGGCTCAGGATATTTTAACATTAGTCCGTGCTACGAAAACGTGCGTGAACGCTTAGCCCGGGCTAAGAGATGCATAGTACGTAATAAACCTGGCACGGTCCAGAGCCTTAGCATGGACTATCAAAGTGTGTGTGAACGCTTAGCTCGGGTTCAGCGCTCCGAAGCACTGTCATGAATTAGTTTTCGCGTATTTGTTGACCGACTTGTTTAGCTGATTACTAGTGAATGGCTGTGTTATATCTGTCATCATTTAGGCTCATGCGAGGTCCTGGACGGAACTTGACTCAGTGATATGGAACTAATTACTATATAACCGTCGCCATCCGGACCACTATTTCTGACAGTTGGGTATTCGCAGTTTAATAGTAATATAGTGGACGATTAAACCACGAGGCAAGAGTGTCCTGGTCAGTGCGGGGCACAGAGACCCCGACGAGGCAGTTCGCCTTGAGGCGTTCTCCATGTGGCTTAAGACAAGCTATTGAAACGTATTTCGTTGTGTGTGTCTTATTTGACTGTAATGCTTAAGTGACTTTCCTGGTCCGCTACCTCAAGCAGACGTGATATAGAGACAGACGAGAATTCCCCCATGACATGTGTTGGAGAAACCCAGACCAGACTGGAGAAGAATTTCCCCCTGATAGCACTATTGTATTCGTTGTTGATTTAGATCCTCAGAGCGGACTAACGAACATCTACTTCGTGTAGCGTCAACACTACCGTTTGATCAAATTGAACCACTGTTACCACTCTTATTTAAGTATTACTGTAAATCTGATGAAACTGTGCAATACCGTGTGGCAAGTGGATTAGGCCGCTCAAGTGTAGGTCGATGGCCAGCATTCATCATAACTAGTACTCCAATCACTAAGTCGCTACAGCTGACACATATGCAAGGAGCTAAACTACTAGTATAGTCTATTTCGCGCTTGTTCGACTGACCACACATTGTTTTACAGAAATGACAACTACAATGAATTCGTCTATTTAGTGGATCTAACTTGAAGGATTCCATATTGCGCAAATCGACAGAATTTTCACATAAACCAGAGGCCTGCAATAAAAAAACTACGGGAAATACAATTTGATTCGTGAGAAGGAACAATTCGAGTTCAAGTTTATCTAATGTTCAAATACTGTACAGAGTGAATATATGCCTAATAATAATTGAACTTCCCTGGGTTACAAATTACAAATCAGTGTAATATCAGTTTACCAATCAACATGTTAGGTTTGACACTAACAAATCTCCCAACAATTAAGGTAGCGGGACTATTATTTGCATACTTGTTTTCATCTTCTAATTGTGACTAAATGACTACAAATAGACCCGGGAAAGTATATATTTTTAGAATCGCCAGACTTCAAGCTTTTCACAAGTGTATTTTGCATGCCCGTATCTGAATTCTACGACGCGTTACTCAATCAAAGGTGAAAAATTACTTTTTCTGTAAAAAAAAAATTACGCATTTATGCTGGCGATAAGAAGTATTTTTTTCACTTTTCCTAGTTGTTCAATAGTCTGGTAAATTGAATGTGTCTGGTTAGTTTTATTCAAGCAACGCGTTTTAAAAAATAGTGTCCTGAATTTCAACTACTGTTTTAGTCGCATTGCCCCCAACTCAAACCACAACTCGTTGGTAAATAATCGATGAAATAGTTTGTCTGGACACATTCAAGTTCCTCTCATTGTCACCTTAAAGCTGTGAAAATTTTGTGTTAATCCGACGACAATAAGTATACGTTATTTTTTGTCTAAGACCTTGTATTTTGAAAAACATAAACTCCTAGAAAACGTCATGAGTACAGCAAGATTTCAGCTTGTT